TCTGATGACCGCACACCAACACGTGTCCTCTCGACTGATCCAGAACCGTTCTCCACACCAGTTCCACACCTTCTATTCTGTTAACACTGGGATGCTTGGCAATTTCTACCACCTCGGCGATCAGTCTGTGTGACGTGGACCGTAGTCCTCACCTCAAAACCACAACATTTTCTAAATCTATTTTTTGTCCCGTGTCAAGTGCGTGTTCCGCAATCGCCGAGTCTTTCAGTAACGCTTGATATTCATCTGCGCTTCTCAGTGGCTTGTTTATGTTTCTACTATGCTCTCCGACTCTGATGTGTAGTTCCCTGGCCGTCTGTCCTATATAGACCTTGGTGCAGTCATTACACTTAATCTTGTAGACACAGTCCCTGGTTCTGTTTGCCGGGAGGCAAATCAACTGACAGTAGAGTATAACATATCCGCACCGTTGTGAGAGTTGACACTGGGAAATAAAAAACGATTAAAGATTCGGCTACTAGCCACCCATTCGCCAAGGAGAAAGAAAGGATGAACACGCCACACCAGGTGAACAATTCAGTCCTGGAAATTGTTGTCAACAGATCAACGTAATTTTGTTACAAACTCCGATACATGTGGTTCTCTGCACATGAAGCTGAGGACGTCATCAGTGACTGGAGTTTGAAAGTGGCAATAACGTGGTAAACGTCATTTCAACATTGAACTTACCACCTGAGATATGAATCACTAGAATTATCTACTTATGGTTCTCTTTGGTGATTGCTCACTCACCTAATTAGTTATTTTAAGCCTTCCTTCAACTGGCGCGGAAATTGTCTGACTTGATCAAACCCAATTTTTTCTATCTAGCTGCAGTTCCATTCAAATTGACTAGCATACATCCTTCCGGTGATCGATTTCTTCATGTTGTGTTGGCAAAATGGTCGTGGAATGTGAAAGTTGTCACTCTAAGGGTTGAGATTACGATAAAAACACCTGGAAGAAAGCTTTTTTCTTACAATTTTGGAAAACTGACTTTCTAATCCGTTTTTGCTCTGGGAGCAGAAAGATGGCATAACTTGCAACCTTCGTTAGATGCGATTCTTTGGTATGAGTTTAAACAGTCAAGACATATATTGATCAGTTTCTGCCTATTGACACAAGCCCTTCCATTTCGGCATACAGTTCAGGCAACTATACTTTTAACAGAACGAATTACTGCTTTTCTACTATTGTCTACGAATAAGCCTCTCACCTTTGCATTTCTTTCTGACGGGAAATTTCACGAACTCTTCGCCATTCAATGGCATGAGTCACGTGCTGGTCGCTGGTCTATCGTCTAATCGATTTTATTGTAGATATCGCCGTGTCGCACTCACCCATGACTCATCGCCAGCTTCGCTGGTCTGGCGTCTAATCGATTTTATTGTAGATATCGCCGTGTCGCACTCATTTATGACTCATCGCCGCGCGCTTGCCGTTCTACCTGCCACGGCTTCGTCCACCGATGAGTTGGGGAGATGAGGCAGATGGCCGCGCATCAGGGGCAGTCGCTGAGTCAACTGGGGCTTAAATATAGTGGTGCCATGACAACACAGCGTGTTTCAACTATCTGCTGATAAAGCGGACTGTTGGGTCGCCGTGACTACTGGAAAGAAACGGACTGGTTGACTTGCGGTCGACCCGCGATACCGAGTAAAAACGGAGTTCAGTCGTTAGTAGGCGGTTGATCAGGTGGCAACTGATCTCTCTTGAGCTTGGTAAGTGATTGCGCGAAGATATCGTCAGTGCGCTGCTGAGTGGTGAACAGATCAATGGCCAATGAACTCAGCCGAGCTGCCATTATTTCCAACTCGGGTGTTTTGAACAACAAAATGATCCATGCTTGGTTTACCATTGTCAACAGTATTCACTGAAACTTCACCGTACTAGTCCCTTTTTATGCAACCGGCCTTCAAACCGTTTAGCTCAATTGTCCACAATGTTTGCGTACACCATTATTGAGCTGGAAACCCAGAGTTTTACCTTCAGCTTTCTCCTTCCTAGTAAACTGCCAGGGCAGACTGGTCTATCCGAATTGATTTCAAACAACATTGGTACACAAATTGATCAGCCGCTGTGTCACGTGACACGCCTTTAATCTTCACCTGGGAATCATACCCTGTATTACCTGGCATAGAGTAGATTGTCTGCTTCGAGTTTGAAGATCAAAGAAGTAATGCAAAATTTTCCCCAAGGGTTGACCAAATGGAGCGAAGAAACGATCGCTACCCCATGACTATTCGTCGAACTTCTGAGAGGCAATCCCTGCAAACAATGGGTAAAAGGGTGGGGAATGTCTACTCGAGGCCGAGAAAGCTATTGATCACTAAGCCGTTGTCCTGACAACCACCTTCTTTATAGTAAAAGGCCCAGAAATAAGTTTCCGTTCACTCCCAGTCCTGGTGTGAGATCCGAACACGCTTTATGGGAGCATCTTCATGGGAACTGGGACAATACTTGACTTAGCTGGTCAAAAATGCTCCTAAATTTCAATCGATGGAAACGAAAAGTATTCTAATGGAACAGGGATTCTTTCACTGTTAGTGGTAAATAGTTATCTTAAAAGATGCTGTATTGTTAATCGTACGTTTTATAAATGACTTCCAAGTTTCAAAATACTTTTCTGTACGTAACCGTAGAACAGCATCCAGGTCGTTCAGCTACCAAAGACGTTTTTGTCTTAGTGAGTGAAATTTATGCTTCAAGCTGGGCCACCCACTTACTTTCCGGAATTAGACACGTCCACTTTTCGTCTATCACTGAGTTCAGAACGGCTTTCTCTTCCATGTAACTTCTGTCGGGACCTTCATCATCATCATCATCATCATCATCATCATCATCATCATCATCATCATCATCATCATCATCATCATCATCATCATCATCATCATCATGGATATTTTCATGTATCAGCTGAGATACTGTGGTATTCTGTCTTGATAGAGTACTCTATTCCCTTCGATAGCCCACAAGAGGTCCAGTCGTTCTTGGGGCCCATCAGGTAGGCAAGATCCTCGTGTTTTGCCATCTCCTAACCGAAACTGAAAGTAGACAAAATTGGGAGAGTTTTCGTGAGTAGCACCATGTCATGTGGATAATATATTCTTAGATATCTCGAACAGTGAACTGAAATGTGCAGCACAGTCGTTGTAAATATACCTTATCAAATTTACTCCGTCAATTCTTTTCTCGAGTGGGGTTACGCATCACGTGAATGGACAGTAATTGATGGATTCAATGTCCTTGAATAAAGCTGATCGATTATTCATACCCGTCCTTAGCTGGCCTATGTGAGTGCAGCGAGCCACATGACCAATGTCTGGCGAATAATGGTCCGTGGTAAGACCCACAAAACCATTGAATTGAAATACAACTCAAAAAGACTACTTAGGTGAACAAAGTTCAAATTTATTTTATTCTGAGGACAAAGGATGCAAAGATTCCATTTAGCTGACAAGTCAATCACTTATTTTAACCATAAAGTCCCTCGCTTCGCACTTATGAATAGAGGGCATGGTACCAGGATGATAAAAAATGTCCTGAAAATTATTTCAATGTTTGAAGGGAAAAGGGTCAGTACATACCAGAAACTGCTAATCAGAAAAAGCAAATGAAGAACAGATGATCAAATTAGTTGCGTTTCGTCGTTTGCCATCGTCATAGCGTGCATTCTCTGATTGAGCTTGTTTGTTTAGTGCGCCCCACGGCCAATCAGTAACTCCGGATTCTTCGACTTCCCTATTTTGGCCAAAGAACACTTCACTGGAAAGAAACTGGGTTTTCACCACCAACGTATCTTTGAAAAACCCGTAGATGTGCACACGAAGTGTGTGAAACCCTTAGGGTTCGGATCTGCAAGAGTATATCTTTCCGTTATGAGTAATCTTCTTCATTGAGGACACACTGGTTATCGATTTGCATGCGATGGTCGTTTTTATTGTGGAAGTATGAAGAGTGGGGACCGAGCCGTGTGTCATAACTTCTCCCGGTATCCCGTAACTTACCGTTCAGATCTGTGTTTCTACAGGTGAATATTTTGGCAGTGGAGAGCGGATTTTGCATAAGAATTGCGTCCATAAGGAAATCAGATGTCATTGTTGTACTAACAGTGAACCGGATCCTGAGCTGTCCAATTTGAGATCACCTATCCAGTCTTGGATAGGACATCATGAGTTTGTTTTTAATCGCATTGTTAAAGTATCAATAGTTTTTACCAAAAAAATGTTTTCATTTTCTATTTGAACGAGGAAGAACTTTGTAGAATGTACACTTGAGATGAAAGAGAATGATACGGTAAGACACACTTCTTTTACAGTCTGAATACCGCTGCTGTTGAAAAAATATGCAAAAGAGTATGTGCAAACTAGGCCATAAATTAGCATGGATGTGGTCACAAATGTAGATGCCGTACCCCTAGTGAGTGTCCTTATTTCCACGGAGTAGCAACGGGTATCATCAATGAGGCAGAAGAAACATTCGGTGTACCGAATGCTGCTAATCGTTAAGTGTCTGTAACGGAACCAAGATGAATTTTGTTTACTACGTTTCATCATCTTAGGACATTATTATTCATCGTCTTAGGTCTCTTCAGTCGAGAATGGTTTTTTATGGACAGCATACCGGTGAAGTAATTTTGGGGCTTGAACTTTTGTACCCATGTCCATCTCGTTTTTACTTCCGGAAATCTACTTGAGCCTAGACGTTGTCAGCAAACGATCGATGCCTCTATGCACTTAGCTATGGGATAACGTGAGTACACATCAATGACTCATGTCGAGAGTGGTCACTCATTTAAGCCAAACCTCTGAGTCACGTGCTCGTGCCGTTCCGAGTGAAAAAATGTATGCAACGAAAGGATGCCTTGAACATTGTTCGAGATTTTGGCTAGCCAATGGTTACAGTGAACGGTGTTTCTTAATGATGATTGTCGTATTGATCCACGAATGCACCAGACATTTTCCTCTGTCGATTGATTCATTCCGAGGCATTTATGTGCTGCGTAGGATTTGACAAGTAAGTCTGAGTGTTGACCCCATCCGTTTGCAGTTCGGAGCATGATGTATTTGCGATTACTGCTCGTTTTGTTAGGGAAAATATGAAAAAAAACTTATTCAAGTGTGAAAGCAGGTGACAGTTCCATCGGTAGGCTGGTCAGATATCGGAGCAATTTTTACTATTCTTCTCCGTTGTGACTAGGACAAGCCACAGAATATCCTTCTGGATTAGAGCAAGAGGGGAGAGGAAAATCCAAGCCTTCATTGTTGCTAGTAAGTGTCAGAGGCAGCACTCAAAATAGTGATGTGGTGGTGAAGTATAGGATGCTTTTGATTAATGCATTTTGACAAGCCGCAGGCAATACCGTGATAAAAAACAACGTAAACTAGACATTTTTTGAGCCTGGGAGTTGAATAGGATATAGCTACTACCTTGATTGCTAAACAGACTGGATACAGAAGTAGGACGAACAAACTCATCGTCTTGGGTTCCAAAACCATTTGTTGTTGCTACAAGGTTCAAACGTATGTTACCGTGGGCCTAAATCCTTTGTGATAAAAACTTGCGGTGCAGCTCAGTCAGTGGAAAACGTGAACACGTTTGCTAATTTGAGACACCTATGGCGTCAGAATGGTTTATCCCTGAATCTGAAAGGACGTGTGTATCAAGCTACAGTACGGGCTGTCTTGTTGTATGGCTGTGAGACTTGGCCTATTCGAACAGCGGAACTGAGACGTCTTCGGGTGTTGGACAATCGTTGTCTCAGAACCATAGCTCGGGTGGGTTGGTGTCGGCGAATCCGTAACGAGGCAGTTAGAAAGCGTGTTTTCGGTTGTGCGACGGGTACTTCCATAGAAGAATGGGTCCAGCACCACAAGCTGCGTTGGTTGGGACATGTGTTGCGTATACCGAACCATCGTTTACCGAAGAGAGTGCTGTTTTCCATGCCAAATTCAGAGTGGCGTAAACAGAGAGGTGGCCAACCCATGACCTGGCAGAGGAGTATGAAGGAGATCACGAAACGCTTGGGTGCTGTCGGTGCTACTCGCCTTCCAGGATGGGGACCGCGTGATCCTCACTGTGCCTGGTTGGAGACACTACAAGATATGGTTGCCAACCGATGTCAGTAGCGTTCTTGTTGTCAGTTTCTATCCCGATCGTCTGAGTGAGTGTCTGGACGTATAGACAGCTCCAAATTATTGTGGTAGGCTAGCAACAAGTCCCCACCCCGTCCACTTTTACTCTTTTCTTTACAATAAGGCTTTCAAATAAGTCATGGCTGTACGGCAGTGAAGCATTGGTGTTGAGCACTGATGTCATGCTGTCGTTGATGATGATGATGATGATGACGGACGTTGAAAGCTCTTGAGTAAAAAGGGTCTCGTGGATATAGAAGTGTCATTTTGTTTAAATAGGCATCGAGGAGCATAAGGCCCTTCGGTTCCATAATTGACAGTCATGGACTCGTAAAACGATAATCACTTGTTGTAATCCGTGTCTGGTGCTAATTAATTCTAAAAGATATTCTGAAAATAACTCTGAAAATTTTTTCCCCTGATACTTGCTACAGGTCCAAGGTCCCTTCCTACTGCAGAGAAGTAATTTCGTCACACTAGCATTATGTTCTATGTAAATGAAAGCTAATCACATTGCTGATCAGCCGCTCGTGGCCAAACGGTTAGGTATTTGAAACTCTCCGAGGTTCTTGAGATGCGCACTGCTGGTTATTCCCAATAAGGGCGAAACACCTTTACCGTGCCTCTTAGCGTTTCACCATAGATTGGCTTCACTTAGAGGACGACTTTCCATTGGAAACTAGCATTCGTCACTGTTTCAGTCTCATTCATCCGTGTGATCGTATGTGTGGCTTAGGTCGGCATTTTCAAGGGACAGTACCCTTTTTAACTCTGGATATCTGGATAACCTCGTGCGTCCGACAAACCGTAACCAATGAAGTCAGATTGAGATCGAAAGCCGTGTTCCTTGTGCTGAAAACGGCTCAATGGAAATCAGTACATTTTGGTGACTGTTATAAAGGGAGTGAATTTTTCCATTACTATCCACCCTGGGAACACAAGGCTTTCGAAGAGTGTCGTGGACGCCCAGAATATTGGTTTGATTCCCATTGACCGGGTTTATTGATTGGGCATCCATTCAAAAAACTTGTCATCAGCTTGTCATCAGTGTGCACAACGCCATTTGTTGGAACAGTTAATCTAAGTTGATAATGGAGTCGATCTTCAAAAATTGTACTTGTAGTGAATGTGCTAACAACAGGGAGTCCGTTTGAATTTCATTGCAACAGGGCTCATAGCGTCACCGATTCCTCGTCGTCTTAAGGCAAAACGTGATTTCAGCTGCAACACCAACTACATTTCAATACTCCGTCAATCCATGCTCCACTCACGGGACATAAGCTCCATTGAAGATTCCGGAATCTCCCCCCACTATCAGCCATTAATAAGTAACTCATAGGAAGATAAATTCACACGATGAGGGAAACTTTTATCTGAGAAGTCGTCACTGAAGGAACTAGTCAACACGTGTGACCAGGTGATGTGGATCCTGTGATTGAAGCATGAGGGGATCTATACGTGCGAGCCAATCACACTGCTGATCAGGCGCCGATGGCCGAACAGTCAAGTGTTCAGACTATCAACCGACAGGTTCGAAATTCACTGAAATTTCATGAGATATATGCACACTGTCACTGATTCCAAAAATGGATAAAACGGTTGTACAGAGCGTAGCGGCCTTTCTGCATATTCTGGCTTTAACAAAATCTCCATTGAGGACTACTTTGCCAGTATTTGAGCTTAACTTCTGAGGCGAACAGTGTAAGGTTGTTGCGCATCCAAGGTTTTGAGCTTTGGTCCCCGTTCACTCCCCGTTCACTCCCGTTCACTGCTCGGAGGTGAGCATGAGCGAGTGGTTAGCACTTGATCATACCCGTACTTCAATGTGGACACGTATTTTTGTTACAAAAATCACTATGCGTACTTGATTTCCACGTCCGGTCGATTGTACGGAAACGAATGAGGTAATCCTTTGCTTTTTTTCACTTCCATACTCGATAATCGAACTACGGCTCCCTTGCTAAAACTTACAAAATGATAAGCCAAAAATCACAGTAAGCAGGTTCTCCGGTAATATTGTCAGGGGAGGCAAGTTTCTTATTTGGACCTGGAGTCTCCCATGAATATCTACTCATATTTGTCGTTTGGGCAGTATTACTCGTACTAGCCCAAAGTGCCGGTCGTATGCCAGATTGGACGAACAAAATTTCCATCTTCACCTGTAGGACAGGGCGAAAACATTGTTTTCTCTAAAAAGGTCTACTGGACAGCCGGAGCACGGGATGTTTCCCAAATCCATGAAACAAGTTCTTATTCCCTCCTGAAGCAACAGAGATGCGGTACTTTTGTGGACGAGACTTAGCCGCAGAGTACTTATTGATTGTGCCGGATAAACCAGTCAAAGATGTGGTCGATGCAAAAAATAACCAACTGCACGATGTATAGAATGCGCAGGGTGTGTTGTTTTTTTGTTTGTTACTACAGTTTTTCTGTCCTGTACACGTGAGTAAGCTGTTATATGAACGTCCTTTTTGACAAGCTGGCTTCGGTCTCGTCACCATTTTGCTTCTATTTAATCGTATACTTCCAGGATTAGAAAAGAATGCTTTTAGTACCTTTTACAGGTCTACTGTCACTAACATGTGATACCAGGTGAAAAATGCAGTACTTGCAGTTTTACCCTTGAAAAACGCTCAGCTGTAGTACCCTTCCGGTACCTAGCTGCCTTGCCACCCGAAGGAGGTACGAGGGCTGGGATACCGCCAGGTTGCCCAAGCCTGGACAGGGGAAGTCGAGAGGCAGAGGTCGGGTTCGAACCACGGACCCTCCGGTCAGTAAATTCGCACTCTAACCACTTGAGCCTCGAACAATGTTCGAGGAGTGGGAGAAGTTCCGTTGTCAACATGAAAATTGTGGTAAGATACTACTTATTTTCTGATAAACTTTTCTTCAGAAAAAGTTAAACTTAGATGAAACTTCGGGCAAGTTAGAATACATTCAGGTAGAGGTTCGGTGCGTTCAACACATTCATTGACAGTAAAAATTCCCAGGGAAACTTCGTCCTAGAATTTTTCTGAGCAGCGGGATTTATACTTCGTTTCCGCTATCTGTAGTCATTGAAAATACGGTTTCGATTTTCTACTCAGAATGAAGTAATACCAAGACCGGAACAAGCAATTCCATCTTTGAATGCCAAAGCTTTCAACCTTCCGTGTGCAATGCTGTTTCTTAACTTTTCGAGCAAATAGAAAGTGCCTCGAACATATTGCATATTGTACTTTACATGGATGATTTGACTTAATTTGAGCTCAATGATTGCTGTTACGATCTCAAAACAAATATTGATTACCCAACAGGATTGCGTGATATTATGCCGAGAGCTCACTTTTGGAGCAAAGAGAGTGTTTGTGGTACTGAGAAATTCCGAAAGGAAAACCCAAGCTAACCCCCGAGGGTGAGTACCAGGGTATCCTGACTAGCTAGGATGATCATCCTGTTTCCTTGGTGACAGTTGATATCTACAGTACCGACGATTGTCGGAAATGCTAATCATTAGTGATAAACCTTCTACAATGCTTTCATAACGGAAACTCCTCACAAGGTTGCTGAAGTATCTTCGACAGCTCACAACCGGTTTCGCTCTTCTTGAGGCTCATCAGGTAGGCACACTCCCCGAGTTTCCGTCAACCTTATGTCCTACTTGAACCCAAACTGGACTGTTTTCGAGTAATACTCTCATTTGCAAATCCATTTGGTTTCCACAAGAGATTCATCTGATTCTCTCGTTTATGGTATCCTGCAACTGAATGTGTTGCACACAGGCCGCCTCATGATTCAGTTGGCACGATATTCGAGATATCGCAGTATATTTTTTTCAAAAAGGAAACTGCTCACGAGGTTGCTGTATGAGGGTTCACTAGATTCGTTTCACATTTGACTTCA